TTTATGACATTTTGTGCTGTGGTTATTTTTTTTAAATTGCATTTATTCACAGTTCAGTTTGAAATGCTGTAGTGACTTGTATTGAACCACTTAAATATTTATAATTAATGCTACTGAAAAGATGCTATTAATTTTATATCTCACATGCAGTTCACTGTAAAGCTACTTGGTGAAGGTGTTGGTTCATAAAACATGAACAGTTTTAAGAAAGAAAAAAACAGACCAGTTCTGAGAACACAAATTCCTGGTAAAGTAGTAGATGTTCAGGTTGATAAATAATATTTTCCACACTGAAGATTATGGAGGTATTGATCAGTCTTCTCATATTTTTAAGCCTCGATTTCTCCTTTCCCCCCCCCTCTAACATCACCAGAAGTCATCATTTAAGGGGTCATTTCTCGAAAAATAAATTCCGGGGGGAAACCCCCCGGACCCCCGGGTAGGTCACTTACGGTACGTCAAGAGCCCCACCAAAAAAAAAGACCACCGGCCGCCACTGGTCATGATGTCATTAAATCCCAAATAACCTCTTCCCTTGAGGAGACCTAATGTGCACATTCATTTTCAAAGCAATCTGATGGGACTCCCGAGTGTTCAATATAAAACAATTGTGTAACAAATAATCTTACAAATACAATGTGTAAAACATATGTACAGTATAAATGAAATAATAATTAAATACATTCAAATGTTATTCATATTTTTACAATCATGGTTTGACAGGAAAAACAATTATTTCAAAATACCCATTTTCAAATGTCTGTTTTTATTTCGTAACGCCATAGTTCCCAATGGCCCCTTTTAATATAACACATTTTATATTACTAACGTCACTTTTAATAATGACATAACTGTTTTATAATATGATGTGACTCTTCATGGCAGTGGTGTTGTTACTGCTCTTACCTTTCAGCCAATCACCTGCCTCTGTTTTACTAGCAAACACATATCAACATCTGCTACCACATTTAGCACGTTAGCTGTTAGCTAAAGCAACAACAATGGAAAAGTTATTCTTTTTCATTTTGACTTAAGATCATATTTATTTATTTTTACATTTTTGTATATTTTCTGGGACTGTTGCAAAAACCAAGCAGTTCATAGACATCAGATTTAAAAACGAGAAGAGGTTAACATATTAAAAACCCCACTAAAGATTTTATGAGTTTTCAATGTAATTATTATTTATCCTCTGAGTTGTGCTGATTCAAATCTATAGTAACAAATAGTCACAACCGTCCCCGTTCCTGAAAGAAAAGGGAGTTGGTCCTTAAGCTTACTGCTGTATTTACACCCTCCACATTAAAGAGGTTTCTGAGGAGCCATTGTAAAGCTCAATGTGGTTGGCTTAAACAGTATCTGGTAGTTCTGACACCTAATTTTTGGTTAATCCAAAAATGGTCAAAGAGGTTCATCATCAATGGGGCATCCTCTGACGGCACAAACCATTCCATCAAATTAGCCATGGCCTAAATCATGCATGAAATTGCTAATTGCAGGCTTCTACTTATAGCGTAAAAATATATATGGGATGCTGGTCATAAAGTGTCAAATTAGGACACCAAACGTCTTCATCAAATGATTTATCTACAATTTTTGTCACGTCTATCTTTCAACAAACTCTATAATTATATTCATACTTATAATATCTTGTTATTTAGAGGTAAATGTTTTTTTCTTAATAATCCATTTAAGACCCTTAACAAGCTCCCATAATCCACTTTGAGAACCACTGTAATGAACAGTTCTAATCTGTAATGTTTTAATTAATCCTCTTGAGTGTCATTTTGAAACTGTACTCCTGAGCTGATCTACGTAAGGGGAAAAACAACATTAGGTATTTACCGTTCAGCCATTGTTACTTACTTCATTTTTCTAATGATGGATTTGGAGTTGCGGAGGAAGGTTGGCTTTAGTTTATTATAGATATTTGTGAGGAATATAGATGGACAGACCAAATCAATGGTGTCGCAGTTGGTGAAGGTGGGACAGTCCTTTCTTTCTTATGTAATGAATTTTAAACACACCTAATGACATTTCTTTGAGAAAGAAAATCCTTTTAACTGTTCCAACCGAATCCCTGATGATCAAAAGAGTGGACGAGCAGCTTCAATGGTTCACACAGAAAGGAATAAACATGGAATCCGTGAATCATCTACAGGACAATGCCTGGACTAACAACACATCAAAGCAAAGTGTAACATCAAACTACAAACGCAACGTGTGTGTCTGTGTGTATGCAAGTGTGTAGAGAAGAGTTTAGCAAAGTCTTCTCTAGAACAGACTTTTTTGACGTATCCGTCATTGATACAAATTCAGTTTTTAAAGGCTTTTAAACTCTAAAGGTTACATTTTTAGGTTGTCAGTTATGAAATCACACAAGCTGAGGTCAAGTGTTCAGAAAATCGAACGTTTAGACATTTTGAACTTTTGTACAGACAGATAATCCCCCTAATACCAGAAAAAAAAACGTTCTAGGTAATCTTGGTCAAGAGAATCAAGGACCCTTGGTTTCCTATGGAGACAGCGGTGCTTCCCCATTACGAGGAGGCGCTACTTGATGTACCCAATCGTGCACAAAGACTTCTAATTATTTAAACTGTGACCTCTATTAACGCTGACCTTTCGATGTGCAACCAATCAGATAACAGGTGTATGAAGCACAAAATCTAGCAGGGGACGTAGCCAGGGAAACTCACTAGTTGTTTTCGCTGCGCCTAAGTGAGCAAAAAGCTAATTGCGCATCATCTATTCTAACTGAGTTTTTTTAATTTCTGAATACCCTATAAAGGGACTCTACAACAGGCATACCCTGGAATACAGACACTTGAAACAAAAGATTTGCATGTGCATTAAAATCCTTATTTTCTTTTGTCGTGTACCATTATGTTCTAGGGATCTGGTTCATCATTTTGATTATGAATCCATACATTATGGGATACAGTGGTACATTCCTTTAAGAATATTGATCATCAGATCAGGTCACCATCACTATAAGGTTTTCATTTGTTGTATATCAGTGTCAACAGTATATAATGATTTGCAGGGAAATAAAACAAATAACAATGTTTTAGTAAGAGTAGATGATGTAAAATACAACATGTAGTTGTGTTGCAGATTTTTCCAGAATGATGAGGGTAAAAATCCCTTGCTGCCTCCTAATCCAGCACACTCTATGTCATTGTCATTGTCTGGAATCATGGCAGACGCTTTTGCTCAGGATGAGGATTATGCCCAATCCGTCATGAAGGAAGTGTGTGTGTGTGTGTGTGTGTGTGTGTGTGTGTGTGTGTGTATGTGTGTGTGTGTGTGTGTGTGTGTGTGTGTGTGTGTGTGTGTGTGTGTGTGTGTGTGTGTGTGTGTGGGGCTTTTGGTGTGGGTGTAATCTGGGAGCTCTGCCACACTGCCTTCTTTCTCTGACATGACAATATAGCTCTCCTGTTTCCTTTGTCCCTGCGAGGGTAAGTAGTGACCTAAGAACCTGAGGGATTTTTGCAAAGACTTTGTGCATGAATCTTCACTGCAGTCAGATAACGTGGTCCACAGTTATGAAAATATGACGGATACATTTCAATCTCGATTGCTGTTTAGGGCGTTCCAGTTGTTCTGGGAAGAGGGAATATCTGAGTTCCCAGTCGGATATTTCAACTGTGAGGTGGGAGATCATCATTCAAAATGGAGTCTCTGCATATTATGAACACTTTGATAATGCAACATTTGTAGCTCTTCTGAGCCACATTAAATCCACTGTACATATGGTACTGCTTATATTCTATCTGTGGATATGTTGCTACGTAGTTTGTATTCACAAAATAAAAATACAGCATAGTTATCAACCGCCAGTGCTAACAATGGCTAACCCGAGGTGATTGCTAAAGCTGTAAACAAGGCGAACAGCTTTCTTGCGGGCTTTTTCCAACTTGTGCTCCTGGAACGCAGTCATCTCAAATGTGATGTCATTCCCAGTTCCGACTTCCGAGATACAATGTTAATGCATTAATTATAATAACTTTCTCCTTCCCTTTTACTTATGTTCCTTTCTCTGCTGTGCTTCTTAAATAAAAACATCCATCTAATGTGTCATTATAGAGAGGTCAGAGGCCTCTTTTTAGATCCAGCAGTAGTGTATTATTGTGCATACTAGAATACTTTTAGAACTTTTTATGTTTTGTGTAAATATTTCAAATTTTGAAGAGGGATTACAATATCAGACTATATTATAAAACATCATATTATGTACACAATTCCCTATAGGCATATAGGAAATGTATTTAATTTAAATGTTTTTCAATGCTGCTTCACTGATACAGGAAGGATTGGTTCTGCACACGCCCCTCCCTTGTCAGTCTCTCTGTCACATCTCCAGCTCAGCAGCAGCACATGCAGCTTCAGATGAACATGACACGGAGCTCCAGCGCTTCTTCAAGAACATCACCTCAGAGAACCACACTCCTAGCGGATTGCTTTGGCCAGGAAGCACGCCCCTCTGCCACCAAACACGGTGGAAGCACTGTGGGGAGGCAGTTATGCTCAACCACTTCAAGCTGCGTCAAACGCCTCACAGTTAGCTAAAAATCGGAAATGGGAACTTCTAAATAAAAGCATATAGGCTTGTTTGTTATCAGCTTTTTGTATACAAAAATAAGATATATGAGCCATTGAAATGTTCTTATTATTCAAACGTTTAATTATTTTGGGATGAAAAACAGAAGTCTCTTCATTTTACATAAACACATTTGAATTTCACAAATAATTGTTATAAAATATGTGTAACTGATTTTATTTCCATTGTCTATACAGCCATTTAATGAAACTATGTATAGACGGTAAAGTACCTTGGTCAAACAAATACCTTCGACATAAATAACTTTCTATCTAGCAACCATTTTTGCTGTAGCTGCGGTCACGTTTTGCTAGCTGGAGTTTTATTTTGAAATATGACACCGGACGTTTTAGCTTATGCACACTGTTAAACTTTACAAATCCATCGACAAGCCAGTCATATCTTCCCTCGTCGAGGAACTTCAGTGCCCATACAGCACCTCACTGTGTCTCTTCCTCTCGCTTCAGTTTCTCGTACCTTTGCACCACCACCGGGGGTTCCGCCGGAACGCTCGCCGAAAGAAGAGCGACATGGCCCGCGTGGTGGTTGAAGGGATGCCGGAGGCGGCCGCCGGAGGAGGAGGGATGCTGAACCGACGGAAAAGCAAAGCCAGGCGGAGAAAGCGAAAGGAGTTGTTCGCCATCCAGATGTGCTTTGCCGGGGTAATGCTCGGGCTTGTCGTAGGGCTCAAGTCTGTGGCTCAGAAAGCAGGTAAGGGGCAGTTTAGACTTCCTTGTCTCCTATTGTCAATTAAAATTAATGTTTATTTTGTTAAGAGGATAGCGTTTATTCGAAGTTTTGGCAAGCAGGAACAACAGGCAGTTTGGAGGCAAACGAAACATACTGTCATGGTTATATTTAAGCATTTCCTGATAATCTTGTGCTTTTTGTGACATTCAACATTTCTAAAACAACACATTAATATGCCAACATATAAAATATAGGCCTACAGACAAGGTTTCAATATAACTAATGTAAAATATCTGACTTTTTTTTAAATCAAGGAATGGTTGTAGGCTGTAACATGTGGATTTATGAACACGGGCACACAAATAAACAAATGCAATTGGGTACCAAATATAGTACAACCTATAAACTTATCATTGAATAAGCTGTCACATGTATTAAGAAAATAAAGACCCCAATAGGATTAGATCTGTATCAGATTTGTTGTTAGGGTACACTACAGCTTTATGGGTATCAGTGCAAACATTTACAACCACTGTAAAGAACGAAACAACAACATGCCTTCTTCTTGCAGCTCAACATCTGTAACTAATAATCCCCTGGAAATGGTAGTGTTGACTCTGCTGCTCTGTGAATTACTTAACAGAAATCCACAGCTACAGTAAGCAGAGGCAGCTGATGGGCTGGATATTAATTTGTTGTAGGTACGCCGGCAGCTTATTCTGAGAACACTGGTGACATTGACTCAATGTCAAGCTTGAGGGCAATATTCTTAACTGGAATTATCATTCTAACAGCTTATCACCTCTAGCCGGGATCTTCATATCCACTGGGTTATCAGTATTCATCTTATCATAATGGAGGTGTCAGTTATAGGGCTGCACAATTAATCAAAATGTAATCGAAAAAAAAAGGGCAACATCCAATTCCCAGAAAGTGCAATATGGGTTGAAGGCAAAAATTATTGAAAATATTCTATATAAAATGTTTTGTTTCTGCAAAGAATGTGTGGCCTACAAACAGTATTCTAAACTTAATAAAAAAATCATTGTTTTGTTACAGACCCACACCATTATCATTATTATATTTTTTCAATGATAATGGGAGTTATATTTCAAAAATGGTAATTCCCTCTAATCTAATATTCACATCACATTTGTACTATCAGTCAAAAATAATCACAATTGGTAATTTTTTCCAAATCATGCAGCCCTAGTCAGTTATAACATTTAAGTAGTGTAAAATAGTATGCGCCAATAATTTAGTGTCTTTGTCAGCTGCTGGGTGTTACTAAAAATAACCAGTGATGTCATCAGGATGTGAATGAAACAATTATTATAGCTGTATAGAATCATATTAAGGACCAGGGTCTTCTTGTCCATCTTTCAAAACACATTGTTGATAACCTCTATTAGTAGTACCAGAGGGATAGCATATATGTTAGGATGTTCTACTGTTAGTGCTAATGTTACTGTTGATTGCTCACTGACTGACTTTTCTTGATAATGTGCTGCTGACCATAAGGATTTTTGGGCACCGTATTACATATGTTCTCAGCTAGGGCACGAATCATCCTCTTGATTGACATCTATGATTTAGAAAAGTTCATGGTTTAAAAGGAGTCAGCAGGGTGCAAACATTTGAAAGATTGCAATGAAAAACAATTATCATTCTTCCATTATTTCATTATATTTAGTTGACTTCACTTATTGAACTTTTTTTTAAGCAGATTCAATTTAAGTTAACTTAAGTCATCTCAGCATGAAACCAGTGCTGCACAATTAGTTAAAAATAACTTATTGCGATTATTTTTGACTACTTTGTATTGCGATTTTGATCATATTTAGATTTATTGTGAAACCCTCATGAGAACTAGGGATGTTAAAAAATGTGAGTAAGAGGACCTTGATATAAAATGTTCCCTGGTTTGCAAAATGATTTTTGAACATTTTATTTCAAACTTGATGTTTTGAGATTGCAACCCCAAATATAATCTAGTTTCAGTCAAGGTTTGCCCTTTTTGATTAAATTATGATTGATAACATTCCTCTAAGTAAAAGCCGATACTGCCTCAGCCAGAAAATTGACAAATCATTTCAGCGCCAAACTGAATGTCAGAACACTTTAACGTCAACGATGACCTTGCCTGATAAACGTGTTCTGAGTTGCTGATTGACCAGGACCTCTTCTCATGTTGAGTTGCCCTACGGCCGCACTAAGGTTTTCAAGGTCTTGGACACACAAACAACCACTCTTTCTAAGGTGTGTGTGTGATCCTCATAGCTTCGCTTTCCCCCCACGGCTCTGTGCACAAACACGTGGATGTGCACCCAACTCTCCACCCTGTCCTCCATCTGTCCTTATTTCACCACCATCCCTCTAAGCTCATGCATTCATCTACCTCTCACCTCCTGGAAAAACACAAGGTAAAAGCTAAACCCAGGACAAAAGCACTAAAGGAAGGAGGATTACCCTTATGAGCAAACACATGTTGCTATCATCTGGAGGTTTTAATATCAGTGACCCTTGCTACTCAAGCCAAAGTCCCTCCATCATCCATCTGTGAGAAATCTAAAAGATGTATGTACCAGCCAGACAAATGGTCATACTATAGAGAAGCCACTAATGGCTGTTTGGTATATCTGGTATACAGCATTAGTCTCCAGATGATCTCATTACATAATATAAAACTCGGTGGGTCCCCTTTTCCTTGCACGCTAGAGCGCAGAGCGGGAGGGGGGGATAGAGCGGCCGAGCACAGAAGGAGCACTTTGCGCTGACGAAGCCTCGGGACTCAGAGCCAAATTAGACAAAAAGGAAAAGAGACAAGAGTGGAGAAAAACGTGGATGGGGGGTGGTGATGTGAAGAGGAAAAGTGGGAGCAAGCTAGGACATTGGCAGTGATGGGGAGGAGCTGAGATGCTGAGGGAGAAGACAGGACGGAGGAGTAAAGTACGATGAAGATGGTGAGATCGGTCAGAAATAAGAAGAGAAGAAATGTCCATGTTGAGATCAATGAAGTGGGAATGGGAGGTGGAAATGAGTCAGAAAAAGAGAGAGGATCGAGAGATGTCAAGTAATATGACCACTAGAGTTATCTAGGAATGACTTCCCCTTTTTTTGAGACATAATTAAACCCAAAAATTAGTTAGCATTGTAGCACTTCCTGTTCCCAAGTCTTGAACTCTATGGATTTTGAATGAGTTTTTGGTTAGATGTCTGAAATAGAGTCTGTGGTCAACACTAATTTTAGAGGTCTTGGCATTTTAGTTTAGGACCTAAAAAACATTAGTCGCCTTTAGCTTAGCGGTGGTGACGTGAAGTCATGTGACTTTAATATAGCTCGTTTATAGCCTAACGTTAGATATTTAGTTCTATTTATTATATTAATGCTTTAAAAATGCTAACATTGGGGTTAGTATGTGGACTTTATCCTGCTGAACAAAACGCGGAAGTATCGTGAACATGTTTGCCAAAGATCACATTTTCTGCAACATTCCAAAATCCAATGGAAAAATATTCGTCAGTAAATGTTGCCAGTGGGCAGATTCTAACATCAACCACCAATGGACTAATGCTCCTCCCTCAGTGGTACATTATAATGTGTGATGGAATGGATTATTAATTATTTATGTTAACTTGAATTAAATGTGTGCCAGATGAGATGGCTGATTGTGAAAAGTGGCATAAATGTTCAACCAAATACATTTGTAAAGTATTTAATATCAGCAAAAATAATACTTACTAAAAGAAGCATGTACAGTATGTGTGTATAATGAGTAGGCTATACTGTAGGTCTCAAGGGTGTGTCCTAACAATTGAGGATGTTAACGTGAAGTCTGACCATCTACACTTGATAGTGAAATCAGCAACTTTTTAAATATGTACCGGTAAATGCAATATGTGGTTACGTTAGCACAGGCATTTAGATTTAGAGAAGTTGCATTTCCCTCTTTCTCTGTGTTCAAATAGTCCTTAACAGTATTATAATACACATTAAGGCTGCATTAAAGTATTCATTTGAAGGCCTCATTTTGGGGTTTATCACGACAAACAAACATTATTAAAAAAGTGTTTGCACTGCTCCCAAAACGTCATTAATACATAATGGAAATAAATTGTTAGATGTTGCATGTAGTCACAAATGTACTTCTATGCCCAGTATAAAGCAGTGTCCACAATCCAGTACAGATACCAAACACTTTGGTTTTAGATACCAAGCTCCATTAAAGTCTCACAATCAATGTGCTTATGATGTAGGGTTAGGGTTAGAAAAGCTATATGTAGCACCATTATTATATTGATTCTATTAGCTGTTTTTTGGGCTTGTATGACACTCAAACCAGAGACATATCTGTTGTTACACCAAGGGTGTTTCTCAATTGCGAGTAAAGCTGCTTCAGAGCCACTATTTCAAGCATACTACGTCATCGAGTGCCGCCGAAGTACTGTTCCAATCTCCAGCATACTTGGAAATCTACCGAGCCCGGCGTACTCCGTTTGGAGAAATATCGAGTGTGCACATGAGTAGACTCCGCGGTCTTAAAATCCTCACAATGCTTTGCGCACGGACCAATTTCCCCAAATCTGTGGCGGAAGATGTAAGGCGGGGCCTCTCATATGACGCACACTTGCTAGCGTGTTCCACTCTTCGTTTTCCAAATGCCAGGAAGTATTCTTGACTCGCTTCTGAAGCAAGATGCTCGGCAGACATGTGCTACCAAGCAAGCGTACTCGCGATTGAGAAACACCCCAAGTCCCTCTTTGCTTTCTCTACTCTTCTACTCTCATACCTAAGCTGGCATCAACAAAGACACAAACACTAATGCACACTGAACTTCCAGAAACAGGACTGTGTCTAATTCAGCTGGATCTGGGTCATCCTGTGTGAAGAGAGAGCCACATTCCCCCAGTGTGACACAAACAACCTCTCTCACCTATTGCCATGCATCCATTTCTCCCTCCTCCGTCTACTCTCTCATTTACTCTGCTCTCATCCAGTCCTCTCCCCTTCATTTCAATGG